AATGATCATAATGAGGGAATTTGGATAAATCCATTCGTCCGCATTATTAAGAAACAAGTAATTCATGTTCCAACTAAGAAAAGAAAGAGATGTTAGTGAAAGAGGTAGCATATTAAAATGTTTATGTTTATGTTTGTGTTTATGTTTAAGTTTATGTTTATGTTTATGTTTATGTTAATTTTTGGCATTGTCATTTTATATATATTTAAATAACTATGGAATTTTATATTGGGTTTATGTTTATGTTTATTACAGGTTAGATGGCTAATAACGAGGATCACCCACGTGATGATTCTGGGCATGATGGAGATAAGGCCGTTAGTAAAATGGAAATGGAATATAGACGAGGAATAACAATAATGAAGAGAATAATTAGAGATAGAGACCAAGGCATAAAGTATGATGTGCATTGAAGTCAAGAAGGCCAACTAATTGAGCCTAACGGTTCAACATTGATGAGTTATCTTAGTTTGGTAGTAAGGAAAGAAATTCCAATTACATGTGAGGATTGGAGAGCAAGAGTGTTGGACGACGCTAAAGATAAAATATGGAGTTAGATACAGGTACCATATGTGATGTTATTTCTTTTTAATGACGATTATATCTTTAAATTACATATACTAATGCACTTTGTGTATGGTTTTCGTAGAGGTCGTTTAACATTAAGGATACCATGAGAGATTATATTCTCAAATTGTCCGGGAAACTACATAGAGGGTTTAGAGCTTTCTTGTCAAACAAGTTTCTTAGGGATGCAGATAAATTTTTTGCTGATGTAGAGCTTCCAAAGAAATATGCAGATTTGATTACAACTGAAGAATGGGAAACTTTTAAATCCAAAAGAAATACCCAAAAATTTGAGAGTTTAAGTGTCGTAAATCGACAACGAGCATCAAGTTCAGCATATCCATATAGAAAAGGGCGTATGGGATATGCACGCTTACAACAATCTATTGTAAGTATCTATAAATTGCAAAGTATCTATAATATATGCACGCTTATATTTGATCATGTTATTTGGCTTAATGTGTAGCTAACAAAGGAAAATAGTTCTAAGACATCTCTCCCAGAACACATTTTGTGGAAGGAAGCCCGTGTGTGTAAGGATGGAGCTGTTGAAGAAAAAGTTCAACAAATTTTCGAGAGATGTGTAAGTATAATATTATTTATTTAATTACATCATACTTTTATTTATTTAATTACATCATTCTTTTATTAACATGTCATTCTTTAATTACAATATTTATATGAATTTCAGGAGACTCTTTCCCAGTCTATACCTCCAGATGAAGATAATGATTGCAGGAGAATACTCTCACGAGCATTAGATATTCATGAGAATTCTGGTCGGGTGAGGGGTAAGGGATTTGGGATCACTCCAACATCCTTGAAGAAAAAATCAAATACAAAAGCTCCTAGCAATAAAGAACTTCAGAAAAATTTGGAAAAGTTACAACAAGAAGTTTATGAGCTGAGAAAGGAAAAGGAAATAGATCAAGCTACAGGTTTTAAAGATACTAGTGATAAATGTAGTATCAATGGTAACTTTGGACAGAATATTCCCGAGGTAATTATATACCATATTTATAAATTATGTAACCATATTGATTAATTATATAACCATATTTATTAATTATATAACCATATTTATTAATGGTTATAGGGCATTTCTCGGTGTCAACTCTATTTGTCGGCACCTACTTATTGGATGGTTGGCAAGGGAAAAGTGTATAATACTTCAGGAGAAATGCTTCACCATAAACCGCTTCCAGATGGATTTTTGAAAGTATCGATTTATGTTGTTTTAGAGGGAGTGCGTTGTTACCACTACTTGACGATGTGGCGGATGCAACATTGGTGGCAGATACAATAGGATCGTTTGTTGCATGGCCGTTAAGCCTTGTTTGCGTAGATAATGAGGTATGCTTAAAATTGTTTACTATTCAAATTTTTTAAGGAAATTTTACTTACATTTTGTTTACATGGTAATGTTAGACTCCAACAAAATCCATTCCAAAAGATAAGGGGATTAGGCGGGAGACCGAGTCAATTACATCAATTGAGGTACAACACAATTATATGACATTTATGCTATGAGAAATGCTAATTTGTAATTTTATACTTTATCTAACTAATTATATGATAACTAGATTCATGCTAAAGAGATTGCACAAGTCAGTAGGGGTAAGACGCCTGAAATTAGCAATATTTCCACAAAAAAAAGAATGTTGCTAAGAAGACCGTGGCTAGCAAAAAAACTATTGCTCAGTTCAGGTCGTGCCTTTAGACATATTTAGGAATTAAAGATATTCCGGATGGTGGTACCCGCCTTATACCTATGAGTGCAGACATCTTTGGTTTTGAATACCTGAAAGAAATTGGTAGAGAGGATATGGAGCAAGTTTTTAGACATTTTGAATTAGGCCTCGGTGTTATCGGTACACACATCAGGTATACTCCGATCAACTTTGTTTAATTAAATGAACAATTTATTTCCTCATTTCAATGAATATAGTATAATGTTAATTATGTTTTAATTTAAAGTTTATGTATGACAATATTGTGCGCCCGCGTGGATTAGAAGCAAGATTTGACTTCTTAGCTCCCAACACTGTCAATTCAGGGTTAATTGTAACAAAACCAGATGATGTCATAACATATGTACTAGGTTTATTCGTGGTCAGCAAAGATACTAAGAAGTTACTCTTTTTACCATATAATACTGGCAACGGGTTAGATTTTCATCCTAACTTGATTTATTATAATTTTCCGTTTTTGGCCATTATTTAATATTTGTTTAGTCTTACAGTAGACACTGGTTATTGGTTTCGATTAATCCTATCAGAGAAACTGTGTATTATCTGGATTTGTTATACAATGATTGGTCAACATATCCAGATTTGAAGCAGATGATTGGCACGTAAGTTTTTCGCTCCCAAAGAGATATTCAAGTTTATGTTTATGTTTTTGTTTATGGTCAACATATCTGGATTTGTGTTTATGTTTATGTTTTTATGTGAGATTGTTCTAAACAGTCGTTTATATTTTATTATAGCGTTCTACTAGCTTTTCGCTCCCAAAGAGATATTCAAGTGCCAAAAAGTAGAGCCAACAACGTTATATGGATCAGAGTGGAGGTATATTTTCACAAAGAGATATTTATTTTTGATTACATTAGTGATGATACTTGATAAAATAATATAAAGGGTATATCCTGATATATATTCGTATTTTATTTCCATGTGTAGTGTCCTCTCCAGCGTAACGGTATATATTGCAACTATTTTATATTGAGGTTTATGAAAGAAACTATTATTTTAGATCGATTAGAGATTCGATCCACAATATGGATTTCTAACTTAGGAATTACATACTATTTTCATATTTTGTGTTTCTCATAAAATGACATATTGTTTTAACTAAATCACATACTATGTTATATTATTATATATGTAGTACTTTGAGGAATTCAATTGTGCACATTACTCAAAAGATCAATTGGATGAACTTATAAAAGAATTGTGTCAATTCATTATCGGGTTGAGAATTTTATAAGCTAAGGTATATTGTCTTATTTCCTTTGATGAGAACTTTCGAGTTTTGAGTATAAATTAAATTTGACTAAAGTGCAACGTTAATATTATCATGTTATGAATTTCGATCATTTGGTTTTTTTTCCAGGTTTATAGGTGCATGTGTAGAAGGTAGAGCTAAGATATTCATGTTGTTGTTGTTTCATGAGAATTCTCGAAGATAGTAAGATGTACAGATGTAACATCAATTTTTAATTTTAGGATTTTTAACTTGTATCATAAATTTTGTAGTTGTTGTTGTATATATATATATATATATATATATATATATGTTTGTGTAATTTTTATATATGCATATTTTATTGGAATGAAGCTACCAAATATGGTGCATAATATGGTGAAAACCTGGTTCAAATATGGTTAAAATTCTGATTAAAATGCATTATATATATTGGACTGCGCTTTTGTAAGTCAAAATAGATAATTTATTAAAAAAAAAAATCATGACCAATAGACAACGCTTTAAGAGAAAAGCGCTATAAAAACTTAAAAATAAACGCTGTCTAAAGTTAGAAAGCGTTGTCTAAAGTGGGGGAATAGACAGCGCTTTTAAAGGAAAGCATTGTCTAAAGCCTAACTTAAAAAATAACAAAGCGCTGTCTATAACAAAAGCGCTGCTAAAAGAGTATATAAAAAAGCGCTGTCTAAAGTGGTCATAAGACAACACTTTTACATTAAAAAAAACGCTGTCTTTTCTTTTAGCAGCGCTGTTTTAGACAGTACTTTAAAGTGCTGTTAAAAACCTAAAAAAGCGCTTTCTTTTCCTTTATTTATAGTAGTGTTGGTTTGTTAGAGATAACTTCCCACTTGGAAGCAAGTGGATGCGTGATGGTATTTGTTTGAAGTACTTCATGTGAAATATGCACTCGTCTAGTGTTGAGTGGCATGTAGCTCTTATTGGGCTTCCAAGGTCGCCCTATCAAATATGGATGACATAAAATGATTCATACGTTAGTGGAAGTATTCTCGGATCCCTTAGTGCCTCGTTCCTTCACATATGTTGCCTTCTTCTCAAAGTTGCTTTCCTCACCCTTTATATATGATTCAACCCGCACCATAATCTCTTGCATGGAATCGGCGGGTGTCTATTAAGGTGAGATTTATTAATTTAAGCAAAATATAAGCAAAAGTTATGCTATCATTTATCATTCATTGCTTATAACCATATTTTAACGGTGGAGTGCTCTTATATTAATTTTATTTTTTGGTGAGTGAGTGCTTTAATAGTATATTTACCATATATAATATATGCTAATATGGTATAATATATGATCATTACTAACTTGCTTAATACCAATGTACTCAACACTCATCACTCTTGATAAGAAATTATAAAGAGAAAAAAAAAACACAGTCCTCTCTCAACATTCAACAACAAGTGAATTTCCAAACGAAAAGCACAAAAGCTTAATAATCCTTTGGCTCAATAACAGTCCTACAATAAGGACAATGAGGATGTCTTTCAAGCCAAGGGAGAAGACATGCTGAATGATACTTATGTGAGCAAGAAAGGTTCATAACCTCTTCATTTTGATGGAAATCTTCTAGGCACACAGCACAAACATTTCTCTCTTTCTTAAACCTATTTCCACGTAATAACCATGCACTTTCTAGTAGTTTTCGACCTAGTCCTGCATTTTTCATCTGAAATCTGCTTTTACTTTCTTTAGGATTTTCTTCACTTGACCTGTCATAACAAAATGAGCTACCTATTTATTAATTAATATAAACTAAAATCAAATGTATGAAGAACTATGAAGCATGCCTATTTGAAAATAAAATTTGAATAAATTATAGTAATCAAATTAACACAACGATAAAAAAATTAATAAACTATATGTAATTACAAGTTAATGTAAATATCCGACACTAATACGGCTTGGACAAGTCTATTTTTCGAGGTGTCAGTGTTACACGACCTTATAACTCATTATAAATGGTTGAATATAAATTACAATCATATTAAGTTAATAAAAAATTAAATTATTTGAATCTTCCTTGATTTTCTTCACTTTAGAAAGAAAAAAAAATTAATTCCTTGTTAGACATGTTTTATTTTTATCTCTTATCTTTATTAAACATGTAAGTGTACATAAGAAACATGTGGATAATTAAATAAGATAAAATAAAACCCTAGTTAATTTGCATAAATCTAGCAACCTAGCCTAAAAAAATAGAAGATAGAAAATATACCTGGAAGAAGAAAAGAAGGAGCCAAGTTTCTTCTCAAGTCTTTGTTTGGCTTTGAAAGCATTTTCATCTAAGGTAGTAGTCATTGAAGTCCATGGTGCATCCAAATCCAATGATTTTCTTAGGTAAGAGTCTCTATAGGTAGCATAATTTTCATGTCTGTTGTGATGTTGTTCTGATTTTTTCCTTGGTGACAATCCAACACCAGGTAATCTACCAGCCATTCAATCTTGTTTACCTAAGCTTATTCCTCATCTCTCAATTTAATGCTCACAACAAGACCACCAAAAATACTAATAATGCATCCAAGTTTTGATTCAAGGTTGCGTGTTCTATTGTGAAAAATACAAATATACAAATACACTAGCAAGTTCTATAGTACCTCTTCGTAAATATCAAGAGTTTGAGGGGTCAATTTTGATCAATCTAAATGGACCTTTGCTAATGATTTAAATTGTGTGATTGATATTATTCATCTGTGCATGACACCAATAATGATTTTAATTTGGCTTTTGGTGAAGTACATGTGGCAAATTATTGCAAATAGTTTACTATTGGGAGGATGAAATTTTTGTGACCACAAAGAAACACGTGGTTCTTAAAAGGATAGCTCAAAAAAGAGAGACAATGTTGTCCCAAGTACTGTTTTATAGTAGCATCATAACTATTCATTGGGAGAGTGGGACTTGAACTTTATTTTTCTCCCTTTGGTGCTTTTTGGTACTCAAGTTAGGTGTTTAGATGTTTTGCAAAAATGGTAGAAAATCTAGATATGGCATTCGGACAAGGCAACACATTAGATAGTAAATCTCAAGCAACTGAGTAAGTCACATGAGAGTATGATTATTGCAGCTACATAATATTATCCGTTTTAGATGTAAGAATCTCACGATTTTGTCATTTAAAAAATGTTTTGTTGAATTGTGATCTATGAAGTTTATGTAATATTTTCCAATCCATTTGAATAGTATATAGAAAATATATCTGGGAGAGGAAAAGAAGTAACCAAGTTTGTTGTGATTTTTTTTTTTTTGGAATCAAGAAGCTTTTATTGATAACCAAAAAAACAATACAATCAAGCCAATTATACGGATCTAGCCAAGCAAGAGGACCTACAAACCAGGTCTAAACAAATTAAGGCAACATAAGTTTCCTTACGTGGATCTTAAACTTTGTTTTGGACCACATTCTGTAAATTATAATATCTATAATTTGTTGGCCTATGTGTTTACTATCAATTTAGTTTTCAAAACAGATCGAGTTTTTAAAATTTCTGATGTGAAAATGATACCTTGGAAATAAAGTATAAATTGTTTTTCTATGATCAAGAAACACATGAGGGTAGAAAAGATGGAAAAATAAAAAGAATACAAGAGATTGATTATTAACTGTTATTCTTTACTTTCTCTTTAATCAAGATTACAAGTGTTACAAGAATAACAAATAAACTTCTCACCCTAAATTAGGATTTGCAGTATGCAATGATTAGAGACTAGTATACTATTTATAATAAATCTAGGGTTTTTCCTCACAAATATCCACTACAAGTTAACTTAGGGTACAAGCTAACTTAAACAATTAGACATAACAAACAGACCCAATTCGAAATACTAACAACCCTAGAATTTCGTCATCCACATACTAGAACACACTTCGACTACAGTATGTAGGTCTTCGACATCAGCACGTGAACATACTTCGACGACATGCATAAATCTCGTCAAACCAGAAACTACTCTTCAACCTAACAGAGTTCGATCCAATATCTCACAAGTTCAGCAGCCATAAATTATTTCAGCTGCTGCACACTTCAAGATCCCGACTTTCCAACCCTTCTTGCTACAATTATCAATGATCCATCAAAGTTCATCATGCCAACCTCATGGATTATGGATAATCTGCATCTAATTCAAAACATAAGCCCAAATATTCCTCGTCTCAACACAAGTGAAGAAAAGATGCTGAAGAGTTTCCTGATCCCTGCAAAGACTACAAATATCATTATTAAGTAAAGCCAAATATGTGTAATCTTACTTTTGTAGCAAGCCTATCCTGAAATGCCATCCACAAGGTAAATAAGGCTCTAGGCCTAACATTGTTTCCCTACATCATCTTCCACAAAAGAACATCTTGGTATTGTTCCTTCAAGACATAATACATCTTTATCATGTTGAACTTGGATTAATTCAACAAGGTGAAACAAATCTGATGTGGATAAGTTTTTTGTCTAAGCTGATTTAAGTATCCATGAACATGAATTTCTAATGGGAATGGTCTCAACACTCTCATCCTTGGTTTAATAATAATGAATCTACCTGATTCGTAAGCTATCGGCTTTACCACTAAGGTTCTAAAGCAATTTAATCATATTAGCTTGATTCTACTTCTGGAGAGAAATTAAATTCAGCCCACCTTATTTTCTAGGTGTACACACTCTTTTCCAAGTTATAGGAGATTTTCTAGTTACTACTTCACTCCCAGACTAAAAGGAAGATCTACAAATTACTTTAACTTTTTTGATAACCTATTTAGGATGAGAAAGATGTTGCATCCAATAACTAGATATCGCAAATAAAACACTCTTAACTAGCTACAATCTACCAGCAAAGCTGAGGAGTTTGGTGCTCTAGTGTTTAATTCTCACTACTATCTTATCAACCAAGCCTAAGCAACGAGAGACAAAGAGCTTCTTACTTGTAAGAGGAATAATAAGGTATCTAAAAGGGAGGGGGCCTTCAGATAAAGTGGTAAGGTTAAGGATCTCATTCTTCCTAACTATGTCCATATTCCAAAATAAACTTCGCATTTCATGGGATTCACTGATAACCCCATCGAGTGAGAGAATTCACTGAAAGCTTTCAACATGAGATCAACAGATATGTAATCACCTCTAGAAAACAAAATAAATCATTTTTAAAGCTCAAGTTGATAATTTCTAACTTCTCTCACTTTGAATGAAAATTAAAATTGGGGTTGATTTTCAACTTTTGTAAAGTCATGTACAGGTGCTCCATGACAATAACAAAAAGTAAGGGGGTGAATGGTTAAAAGTTGAAAGTAACATGTATTATTTTCTTTTTAAATTTTTTACTCTCCACAAATTTATTCTAGTGTTTCAATTTTCAAATAAAAGACTATATTCAAATCAAATTTTTCAATATCTTGTTGGTGAAACAACAACATTGCTTGCAATATATTATCAATATGATTAGAAAGAAATTCCTCAATGTTGTCAGTCACATAAGCAATAAATTATATAATATTTTCTTTTAGTGGCAATATTGGGAGGTTATTCCAAAATATAATAATAATCTTGCAAGAGGTGGAAACAACAATAATAGCAGCAAGAACAACAACAAAAACAAATCCATTATGTGAGATACATTGCAAGAACTAGAAAAATATTTTATTCAGGGTTGGTGTTTAAAGAATAACAACACAGAACCTTGAAACATTTATTAAATAATTAAGAAAATTTGAAGATCTTTATATCTTACAATCCATCCTAAAGAATGATGTTTACAAGTTTGGATGAGTTAGGTTTAGAGTATAACTTAGTGAACAAATGGTTTTATAGTTAAGTATGAGCATCTAACCCCTCAATTATTTATTAATTCGAAGGAAAATATAATATGATTTTTAAATAAAAATAAAATAAAATAATGTGCCACTTTTAAAGAAATAAAAATAAAAACTACCGTTGTTGATATTTAAAACATGTACCTTGATTTAGTTTTCCCCTCAGTCATCTACTAAAACTGTGTGAATATATGGTTTTTTTTTTAAAGTGGCGCGTCCAGAAATTATACTTCGATTTTTGTTGAGTGAGGCAAAAGAGTTGCAATAAAATATATTATTTATAGTAGTGGTGTTTGGTTCTAGAGATAAACTAGTGAATATATATATATATATATATATATATATATATATATATATATATATATATATATATATATATATATATATATATATATATATATATATATATATATATATATATATATATATATATATATATATATATATATATATATATATATTTGATTCTATAACTCAACCGCCGAAAGTTTTATTTGGTTAATCAGATTAGCAGGTGAAATCTCTATATGGTTTGTGAACTCAACCCGTATAAAAGCTCATGTTTTTTTGGGGGATAATGCAGTATAAAGTCTCTCAATTCGCTTGTAATGAAGGTTTACGGGAATAACCTGTAAAAGTTCAAGTTTATTATTGAAACTCTCAAGAAGACCTATAAGAGACAAGAGTAGGCCAAAATACCAAACTTATATAAACTTTAGTGTCATCTCTATAAACCTATCTCTTTAATTTCAATTTAAGTTATTGTTTTATGTTGTTCTGTTGTTTTCTCTCTTCTTTTTCAATACTAACCTAATTTTGTACTTTTTTAAATAATAAAATTGTAAAATTAATTATGAATTTTAAATACCAAAATTCACCTTCTCTTTTGTGTTTGAAGTAACTTGTCTAACAAGTAGAATATATATATATATATATATATATATATATATATATATATATATATATATATATATATATATATATATATATATATATATATATATATATATATATATATATATATATATATATATATATATATATATATATATATATATATATATATATATATATATATATATATATAAAATACAAAGTTTCTTATTTTATATTGTTTTCGTTTCAATCAACAATTAGAAATTATTGACAAATTATGACTCGGATTCATCGTCATCACTGTCAATCTTGGTGAAGATAAAATGTTGGATTCTTGTTTCGTTGAATCTCATATAAGAACAAATGTTGAATTTAAGTATATTCTCAATGACTTTTACATGCACTTTTTTCTAATATAGAATTAAAAAAGATTAGATAAATAAAATATATTTTCAGTTACATGATGAGAGATTATGTAAGAAAACCAACTTTAACCAAATTTTTTTGTGCTTTTGCAATCCATTCATATTTCTTTTCCAAGCTTCTTTTAGTTTCTTTGTTTTCATGGAAAATTCTTTCATTATCAATGTTTGAGTATCAAAATATAGCGTTCTGATTCGATGTAGGGGTTTCTTGTGAATTGATATGTTGGCAATATCGTAAGCGTTGTTACTTTATAAATTGACGATAAAGATATATTGAGACAAAACTAACTTACTTTTCCCTTTGCTTGTGACATAAAACCAAGGTGATAATTTACTTCTATGGG